GGTACCTTTTCCAATAGTTAGCTGAATGTCCTCCTTGGTTAAGTAAGGTGTCACTCCTCTGTATGTAAAAAGCACATCTCTGAAATCAATAGGACTGGCATTTATTCTGGCTTTGCTACCTCATGCTTGTGGGTTTTTGGGAAAAATATTATACTGTCTCAGCCTTAGTTTTTCCTCCAGATAGTAGAAATAACAGAGCATAAGATTGCCAAAAAATATATAAATGAAATAATAAGTGTAAAACACCTAGTGTTGTTTGGGATTCATTGGAGATGCTCTGGAATTAGGATAATAACTGTCTTTTGCAATAACTCACAGTGTTATACAACTGCTAATTTTTAATGATTCCTTATGGTTTAATTGGTTCTTTTGAGTAACAACTTCATGTGTCTTTATGTTGTCTTTGAAATCTAACTGAATACTTGTTATGATAGAAGCAACACTTAAACATTGTTGCATTAGTGAATGCAGGAGGAATAATGGTATACTCAAGTGCTTTTTTAAAATTAAAAATAATTTAAATAAAGATATGTTAGAGTAATATGCCATTATAATCTCTGAGTTAATATTTTATGGAATTAATTCAACAAAATACATTAAATATAAAAAGTAAATCATTTGCATTTGATAATATTATACACCCTTTGTTGCCTCTTTCTTCACTGCCCTCTAATTATTAAATATAGCAGCAGACAGGAAGGACAGGTAATCACGTAAAATGATAGTTGTAATTAAGGCAACCATGTCATTTATTTCTGTTTTTCTTTCTTTTCACTTTCCTTCAATCAATAAAAGCTCTCAATTGAAATAAAACATTGTGTTTATGCTAATTTCCTTTCTGTTTGATATTTTCCAGTTGTCTTCCTGCTGTGTACATGGTAATTATTCTCATTTTTAAGTAAAAATGTACTCTTTTCAAAGAAACATTTAGGGCATTGCTTTATTAGTTTTTCTTAAAGTTTGACACATAAAAGTGAATGGAAGTCACTCCTAACAATGAAATCTCTAATATTTCAACAATGCCAAAGTTTATTTTGTAAACTATCGATATTTTGAACTTACTTTGCAAGAATATGAAAACATTTATTAGCAGACAATGCCTTTGGAGCTATGAATTCCCCCCAGAAGCAATTGTGTTCTGTAAAAACTGTAATTTCCTATATAATTAATGAAAAACAACATACTGCAAAATGTTATTTTATTTAATAAGGAAAGGAAAATATTTCAATCTATTAAACTTTCCTGATTTCCGTAACTAAAATCTTACTACCTCTATTACTGTTACAGGGCAACCCCAATGGGAAATGGGTTGGTCTGAGTATGGGTCCTCACCCTGTGCTTAAAAAGGACTTAAAATGAGACTCAAATGCAGACACACACACAAGGATAATAAAGGGTTTATTTACAAATAAGGGGAAATGAAGAAAGGAATAACCCAGGGGGAAAGAGGGAGAGAGAGAAATTGGTGAATGTGCCTTACTAGTTTCGCTGAGCTGGGGCCCCAATAGCATGCTGAAGGCCAGCGAAAAGCTGGCAACCCCAAGGCTCACATGTCTGGTTAAATATCAGGCCTCGCTACTTAACTCCACCCTAACTTTCCAGCAACCCTCCCTTCAGTGGTGATGATGTTATGGGATTTGCAGTCCTTAGTGCCTTGGCTCTCTTTGGCCTGGGCCAGGAGTCCATAAAACTTGAGTTTGTGGAGTTGGTTCAGAACATCCTCCCCTTACAATATTACCATATAAAACAGTCTTACTCTCTTGGACTTTAAAAAAACGTGGCAGTGAATCCAAAAGCTTTGAAATATGGTTGGTTATTAGAACTTAAGTGGGTAGCCTCAAAAAAACCATAACACATTAGAAAAACGTCAGTTCTAACTAATATAGAATGTGTGGAAATGTGGAGGAAGGGAAGATGTTATCTCTTGTTTTTGAAGGAAGGTAATTAGGTAGATAATGAACATGTATGTTTAGACTTTGAACAGCTCTTAATCGGAGCTGTTCTGTGCTTTGTACAGCTATATTATCTTTCTAAGTTCCAGAAATGAAAGAATGCTCTTACATTAGAAATAAAGAATTATAAAATAATAGATTCCACATTTTCTCATTATAGAAATAGATAATATTCATGCTAGATACATAAACTAATTAACTAATTAAAAAGACTCTGCCTATCATCTCATTATAAAATTCATTCCCAAGGAAATTGACGTTTTGTTGAATAATTATTTATCAAAACATGCAATATTTATTTGGGTATCTTGTATACTAAAGATTGTAACCTGAATGATAACCCAATCCAGAAATATTTTTATACTTAGGGTTTTATGATTATGATGCCTTATATTTAAAAAAAATAGTTACAGAAAAGTGTCATGCCATTCTAAGAGGTAAATGGTATAGAAAAGGATTAATGTAAGCTCAATATTAGAGAAGGACCTTCTTAAATAGATTTAAATAAGTGGTTTTTTAAAAGATTTTATTTATTTATGATTACCAGACCTGGGTACAGGCCAGAGGTGTGGGAGGTGAGAAGATTCATCAGAGACATGTGAGGAACAGAACAAGCAGACGAACTGAAATACACTGTTGAGGGGAGCAGCGGCAAGACAAGGGAGGTCTGCTGCGCCATGTGGGTTGCTCCCTGGCTTACCAGGGGTCAAACTCGTGCTGAAGAGGCTGTGGATTGCTTCATATTGTGGTGCTTAACCCCTTGTGCCACCAGGGAGGCCCTTAAATAAGTGATTTTTATAACAATTTATGCTATTAGATTATTTTAGAATAATTTAAATATGGTGTAACAGTTTTCTTTATAAATGTAAATATGCTTTATATCATGTAGCCATTTAAAATTAAAGTTTTCATAGGTAAATACAGTGTAAAAGGGAGTACATCGATGCTTCAAATTATTTCAGATCATGTAAGAGTAAAATAATTTCAGTTATGATCTTTGCTAAGCTCCAAGAATAAAAGGGAGGATAAACAAATGCCTTCCCTAGAGTTGTCTTCAGGAATCGTTAGGGCTACAAAATAATTGGTAACATCATGTCACAAAATGGGCCTAATGGATTTTAATAGCCCCAATTAAAAATGACAGTAGGGAATCAGCTTCTAATGACAAGAGAAATGCATTTAATATATGGAAAGAGCAGAGGTTAAAAATGTCACACGGAGGCACGAAACTACAAAGGTCAAGTCTCAGTTACCACAAGATATCTTCATCTCCGTATAACAGCCTGATAATGAACATAGGGGATAACTACAGAAATAGATGGATTCATGTATTTATGAGATATCAGTACATAGTTAAGGTCAATTTTCAAATCAGAAGAAAAGTATTGTTCTTTTCAATAAATGTAACTGGATGTTCATACCAATAATACCAGAAAAATAAAGTCAAATACAAAAATAACTTTTTATTTTTTAAATGGACTGTGATATCTAACACCATGTTGGTTCAAAGCATTCCTATCAATAGATACATCATTTTCTCAAAAATTCTAATCTGCTGTTATTAAAATGTTTGGGTCACAGTTCCAATTCCAGTTTCAACTAATAGTAAATCATAAATATGTAAGGCTTGGAAACTATTTCCATGATTAAGGTCTGTCTACCTTCAGATAATAGAGTCCATTATTAAGAGTTGTCATTTTTTGCTTGGTAACAACTTTGTAAATTGAGGTTGAGATATCAAATATAAGAACTGTCTAGCTATAGACTTTTCCAGATCCTGAATTAAGAAAGTGCTTTTGTGATAATTGGTCACATCTGGCAGTGCCACTTACATCATTTTACATGTTTAGAGTAATAAGTAGCTTGAAATATCAGCAAAAGAATTTTGCCTTCTGGTCACATCTCAAGTGAATACATTTCTAAACAAGTACAACACATTTTGAGCTATATTTGTAATGTATGATTTCCTATAAAATAAAATCTTAGCATTATCCATCTGCTTTTGTACTTAGCAAATAGAAAAATGCATACAGTGAGCAAGAAAGAAATACAATTTAAGAATCAAGATAACCTTGACATTGTACTGTGTCAAAAATGTTCATTTATTTTACTGAAATTTTTCTATTTTTGGCATTCAGAAACTAACCCACAATTAGGAATATTAATCTTGGTAACTTTTCCTCTATCTCTCTACATACATGTAGACATCTTTAGTGATTCATAAATGTTACACAGATAAATATGCAGATAAATATGTCTGTGAATATTTGTCAATAAGTTGAGAAAAGCTGTTACTTAAATATCACAATTTTCTTCATGTTTTTACTGAAAGATTTCATATATCTCCATTATATTATTTAGGAATATTATACTTGAAAATGTAAGGAAGCACCATTATACTCTAGATTCCTGAAGAAAGCAAATATGGAATACTTTACAAAAAACATTGATATTTTGACTCAAGAACCAAAAAAAAAAAAAAAGGGAAAGGATGTACCAGTATATGTTTTAATTATCTATTGTCTCAATATATATTTATGATTTCTTATGGTCATCATTATGAAAGATAATAGGAAATGTGTTTGATTACTGTGGCAGTTAATTTTGTATGTCAACTTGATTTGACTAATAGTCACCCAGAAAACTGGTAAAATGTCATTTCTGGGTATGCCTGTGAGAGTGTTCCCAGAAGATAGTAGCATTCAAATTGGCAACGATCATCCTCATCAATTCAGGGTATCACTTGTTCATTGATGGTCTGAATAGAATAAAAAGTAGAAGGGTGGATGAATTTAATTTCCTTTGCTCAACTGTGGACATTTAGCTTCTGGGGCTCTGATATCAGCTCTGATACTAGTTTGCAGGTCTTCGGAGTCAAACTAGAACTTACACCATCAACCTCTCTTAATATCATAAACATCTCTGGTTCTTAGATCTTCCAAGTCATACTGAATTACACCACTATCTTTCTTTTTCCCAACTTGCAGACATCAGCTGATCATAGGACTTCTCAACCTCCATAAGTGCGGTAGTGAATTCTTATAACAGAAGTCACATGTATCTCTATCTCCATCTCTAACTAGATAGAGTTCTGTTAACAAGAATGCCAACTAACAAAGATTTTGACATTGAGAGTTGTTCTGGAGGAACAGAACTTTATGGGTAAGTTTTTAAGTTTTTTTGGCATCTCAGGAATTAACTGCTTAATCTGATTATATATATAAATGTTAGTGTTGCCATACATTGTTTATGTGCATTGTGAATTTTTTGTAGAGCTATAAAAACAATATCTGCAATGGAATTTTTTTTAAAAGCAAGGACCAAAGAGATCTATATATGATACTTGCAAATATTTTTGGAAAGCTATGATGTTGGTGGGTGGCTCCTAATATCCCTAAACAAAATGATAAAAGTATGAGATCAGAGATTCAAATCAAAGTAGACTCCATGAATAAACTAAATGCATGTTTTATGGTGAAAAAAGAAAGAAGAAAGGAGAAAAAGTTTACTTACTAAGACCTGATATGTAGGTGTATAGGCTCGACTTTTTCCTAAAGACAATGGGAAATCTCTCAAAGGTATAAATAAAGGACTGTCATGCCCCAGTTTGACTTTTAGGAGTACTTGTTTGGCTGCTGAGTGGATATTGGAGAAGAGCAGGTTGGGAAATAGCACAAAGTGAAGAGGTTGCTGCAGAATTCAAAATAACAGATATTGGTGACCTGAGTTAGAGGAGTAAAAAGTATAGTATAGAGAGACATATATGAAGTGGAATAAATAGGATTTGACTGACTGGAGGTCATAATGAAGAGTCTGAAATGACTTCTGAGTTTCTGACTTGAGCAACTTATTGCACAGCAGTACCACTCACTGGTATATGACAAAGAGAGAACAAGCATATTTTAGACAAAATAATGAATTCTGTTTTGAGCATGTTGGGATTGAAATTACTGGAGAATATCCTTTGGTCCTTGAGAACTTTTTTGGGAGGTTCTAGCAAGAGGGAGCACAGATATTTATCTACTCTTACTTGTAAAACAATTTTTTTTTAAGATTTATGTATTTATGCATACAAGAACTGGGGTGCAGGCCAAAGTTGTGGGGTGAGAGGATTCACCAGAGATAGAGTGGGAGCAGAACAGGCAGATCGACTGAAATAGACTGCTGAGGGGAGCAGCAGGTGAGACAGAAGAGGTCTGCTCGCCATGTGGGTTGCTTCGAGGCCGGCAGGGATCAAACTGGCACTGTAGAGGCTGCCGACAGCTTCACAGCACTGAACTCAACCACCTGCGCCACCAGAGAGCCCAGGACCACACCATTTGGATGTATGCTACCACACCACACACACCACCAAGGCACCCATAGTCCTCTACCATAGTCCAAGGCACCCCTTCCCTACTTTTCTCATCATACTTCCCCAGCCCCTTTGGCAGCTTCCATTATACAGTCAGATTTCTAGGGTTTGTTACTGGTTTTATTTTGCCTGACCCTTGGCTTTTTTTCTCTATAGTCCACATATAAGTAAAATCATCCTGCTTTTGTCATTTTTCCTTCTGACTTATTTTGATTAGCATTATCCCCTCTGTTATTTGTGACTGCATAGACTGGGCTGTTATTTTAGATACTACTGTGATCACAGCACCTTACAGTTTAGTTGCTTTTCTTTGCTGTATTCTGAAACTATGGTTAAAGTCCATTCTATCCACACAGACCTTATAGGTATTTCTTTTTTTCCAAATTCCAAGTTTGAAAATGTCTTATATTGTTTGCAGTTACACATGAATTTTTAATTGTCTCAATCTCCTAGAATAAGAAACTACTATCTGAACAACTCTTTCACATAATAATTAACTAGAATACTGAACATTTAATGTTTCTATCTTGGTTAAAGAGAGAATGAGAATATTTTCTAGTATTTTATCAGAATAATATCTAACAATACTGAACAGATGAGTGATTAATGTATAATAATATATAATTATCTAGATCATTCTGCAAAAAACTTTAAATTTACATTAAATGAAGAAATAAAAATAATTAGGATGCTTGAGTATTATAGCTAACTTTTATAAGCATAGAGGAAAATATGACTGAATAATTATGTAAGTTCTTGTTTTATAATTTCATTTCTTAACTTTAGAATTTATGCCATTCCTAGATCAGACTCAGTTAGAGAAAATAAGAACAAAGATTTCTAATTAATTAGCATACTGGTAAATCAAATGAACAGAAGAGTATAAAAACCTTTTATGTAGTTTGTTTCTTTGTGGATGGGTAAAAAAGATAAAGAAATACATTGAATTTTATTTGTAGCTGAAATTCAGGAATAGAAAACACTTCTATTAATCTACACATGATAATTAAATACATTTTTATTTCAACAGCTTCTTTTACAAAATTGTCTTTTTCCTTGCCTTTAGCTAAAATCAGTGGAAAAGAGAAAATAAATGCATTGAGTTTTATTTATAGTTGAAATTCAGGAATAGAAAACACTTTTATTTATCTTCCATTCATGACAAATTAAATACAGTTTTATTTCAGTGGCTTCTTTTGCAAAATTGTCTTCTTTTATCTTGCTTTTAGCTCAAATCCCTGTCAAGTATAAATTTTGCAAAAAAACCAGCAAGTCTTCTTATAAGCTTGCAGGATCCATATGACACAATCTACCAATGATTAGGAGTACAATTTTTCATCAAAATGAGCTAAGAGAAAAAGGCCAGGGGCTTAATGTTTAGGCCACATATATGGTAGTGGTCCAAAGTTCTCATTCCTTTTGGTAGACTGTTAGGTCAAATTCTTGAGGATAGCAGCCATAGCTCTTTCCTGTCACTAATAAAGGGTAAACTATGTGAGTGACTCCTCACTGAGCACAAGTTGACACTTGATTGTTGTGTAGTAGATGGAGTGAGACTGGACAGAAAATCTTGTGAGAAGTGGTTTATCTGCAGAGAGCAAACCGTGCCTTTCCTTTTTCAGACTGAAATGCCCTGTTCTTCATCCTTGTTGCGTGTACCTTTTCTCCCTACCACAAATCCAATGTTAAGAAGCTGTACTTGTGAGTGCAGTTTATTCCAGCAGTATTCATCTAAACAAAATTAGTCAAGTAGTTTGTTGCAATCCACCAAGACCTCTCTTAAGGTGAGAATTATTTATTGAATTATTTTTCACTTAAGTATCACAAAAATGTCTGTAAAATTTTTGACAAAATGTAAACTCTCTTTGAATTTCTTTAAATTCTCTTGTTCATATGAACCTTTGCTTAAGCTGCTGTAAATATTAAACTCTTACTGTAAGCAGTGGAAACCTGCAGCCTGTGCTTCTTTTTAATCTACAGGAGAAGACATTGCTGATTTGTGTTATTTAATATTGGTAAATATAAGTATGCTGGGGTGATTTCCATTGTCTGTGCCCACTAAAGCATGTAAAATCAGTTTTTTTTTTTTTTTGTTTTTTTGTTTTTTGCTTTGAAGTGAGAAAGAAGTTAGCCAGACATTGTTACTGGGGTGATAAAATTTATTCAGATCATCATGGCTATATATTTTCATCATTCTGGAAAACAAAAAACTGCTTAGGCATTGTTTATAAAGCTTTCACAGAATGATGCTGTTAAGAGACCTCTAATGAGACATTTGAACAAGTGATTTGTAGTTACACCTTTAGCACTATATTTATATCTAATAGAATGTATGACTTCTCAGTTATGAACCACAGAAGCATGTTTATAGGCTTGGAGAAAAAGTTGGGTGTTTTTTTTTCCCTAAACCTATATTTCTGCTTTTAAAACCAGAATTGATTATTCATATATGCTTGGCTTGATAAATATTTATTGACCTCATAATTTTTAATTAAATAATGAGTGAATAAGTGAATGGATATTCTACAGTGCCATCAATCTTTTACTGGTCTCCTGAACTGACATCCTTCTTAAGGAACTCTGGGCAGAGCCTAGTTCTGAAGTCAAACAAATTTCCCACTGATGACTAATCAATGCTAATTAACATTCATTTAGATCATTGTTTTGAATGAGGAAGCCAAGATGGCAGGCTTTAGTAGATCATTGAAAATAGAATCACTGTAGTTAAATTTGTGAATTTAAATTTCTGAATCTGCAAATTCAAAAACTGAGTAGCTATGACTTTATCAAGCTCAAATAAATTAGTCTCTTTAGGGCTTCTGGCATTTTATGAAGGAAAAATCCTTTGGTCAATTATTTACCTGTAAAATAATCAGGCTTGATAGAAATTATGTGACCAAAGTACTTTATTTTATTTTTTTTTTTTTAAAGAGGCATGTATTTTTATTTATTTATTTATTGTTTGTTTGTTTGTTTGTTTGTACATGCACTGGGTACAGTCAGAAGCGCGGGAGGGTGAGAGAATTCACCAGAGTCAGCAGGAGCAAAGCAGGCAGAAGGACCGAAGTACACTACTGAGGGAGCAGCGGGCGCAGGAGAGGTCTGCATGCCATGTGGGACCCTCCTCCAGTGGCCGGGAG